AGTCTACCGGCGTCTGCGACCCTGCAAGAACCTTGTGCAGGTTTTGAATTGCAAGAGGAACTCGTTCCAGACTTCCCACCAGCAGGCCTTGGGCAGCTCGGCTCTCAAGTAGGAGTTGACATCGCATGTTCTGTACCTGGCCGCTACATTCTTCAGAGCACCATCAGGCTCATTGATGCACACATTTGATGAGGGAATACGAGGCGGGTCACCAATTCCGGTACTTTTCACTTTCTCTCTCCACGTGTCCTTCCCTCAGGGAAGTGTTCTGTCGGCAGTTCATTGTGAAAACGGAGTCCAGGCCGAAGACCTGCGCTGCCAAGCACAAGGAGCGCTTTCTGCTTGTGCTTATGCTAGCCTGCGCCCTGAAATCGTTGACAGCTCTGTCATACCTCAAATCTTCGTGCTTTGGCGGAAGCTGGTGAAAAACAAGAGATTCATGCCGTGGTAAGGCTCCTGCGGATCCCTCAAAAATGTGAATGCCGACTTGTTGCCATAATATTGCTGCCCAATGTCTTTGGGCAAATACCTCAGATTTGCAATGATTCGAAAGCTGCAGGCGCTGACGTTGTGGCAATCCCGTTTGAGGTCTTGGCTTCGGTGGTGTATAATACAAATGGCATCCAGTCAAGTTGGAGAAGCCGCGCAAAACTGGATCCTTCGGATTTTGCTTGCAACTCTAATCTGGATCGCAATGTTGGTAACTATCCCTAGAAATTCCGAGATAAACCAATCATGTTATGTTCCATTTATTGGGATGCTATTCCTATATACTTCTATATACCTGGAGGTCTGCCGGTCCATCATCCCCCATAGTGGAACATCGGGAGCAACGGCCTGGGGCGGGTCCACAAGCACGAGCGCTAAATTTCAGAACCCCTCGTCCGAGCTCCGCTCAGATCGCATCAAATCCAGTCCCTACGCAAGGAAACGCGGAAGTGCTTGCATTTGATTGGTTACTTGCTTTGCCTGCTGTGGCATCGTAGCCTTGAAGGACTGCCACACCTGCACATGTGGTTACACAAAATCTTCAGCAGCCTCGTGCCCTCAGTGCCTTCAGCCAAGCTGACAAGTCCGAGCGAGGAACCTGCAAGCCCGCCTGGCTTCAGCAACTCTCAAAGTATCCCAGGTATGCTCCGTCTGTATCTACATGGCAGCGCGACCATCTCAACACTGTGCCCAAAAGTGCATGGCACGTGAGTCAAAGCAAGGTCCTGTTGCAGTCTTCTGAGAGTACCAGGACTCCTTGGATATATGGTTCTGCGTTCTGCGTTCCCAGCCCCCCCTCCCCAATGGTATCCCCCCCCACCCCGCCCCCAATGGTATGCTTCAAAAGTGCCAACAGTCACAGGGATGGGGCTTCTCGAGGTCGTCATCCTCGTAACTGTCGTCGTTTTTGGCGCCTCAATGCCTCCATTATGTTGCTCATGCATTAGCATT